GGGAGTGGAAGCTGCCGGTGTGCTAAGCAAACAGCTTACTCTCTTTTGTCCCCAATCTCTCCCTCAGAGGGGCAGGGGGGCAGGGGGAAAAAAGCAAGCAATTTCTATAGACAATCTTTCCTTTGCTTGATCCTTTCCCACCCCTGGCATACTAGAATTGCTCTCACGGTGTGGGAGATCAAACCGCTTGCTCTTGTAAAATATCTCTCTCTACAATCTCTATGCTTTGGGGGTGGGGGAGGATCAGGCAAAGGAGAAATTGCTGACAGAAATTGCTTTCCCTCAACCCCGTCTTGCAAAGCAAAGAGACTGGAGAGACAGAGGCTGTTGTGAGGAAAAATGAGATACTGGAGTGCTACGTACATCATACTGAATGCCTGAGCACAAGGCAAGCTATAAATCTAGCAAATAAATAAATACATAAGCTAACAAAAGGTAGATTTATATATATATATATATATATATATATATATTTTAAAAAAACAAGGTTTTCAGAATGCATTTTTAAAAAAGACCTGGAAATACCAATGAGAAATAAGAGTAATCAGTAGCCATGGACATCCATGCTGAGATAAAATACATTAAGAACTGCTTTCAAGAAAACAAAGACGAGATACCATCAATAAAAGCACCTATGTCCAGTCTGTTGCCAGTCAGTGTAGATCCATCGCTCATGTTCTCTCACCAGTTTGCCTGCCTATTCACTTGCTTTCACCAGCTGGTGACCACTTTCTTCACCTCAGTCTCCTGATCAGCATCCACCTGTTCATTGTCTTCTTGCCAACCGATGTCTTTCTTTCCCTACCCAGAAGCTTTATTTCTGCCAACACTTTATTTGTTCATTTGCTGTCCTGTCACAAGCACTCGCCAGAGAAAGGAAAGTTTCAAAAATCTTCTCATCTGCTCCCCAAGGCAGAAATACCTTGAGAGAGATGTGAGCTAGAGCAGCGGTCACCAACTGGTGGGCCGCAAGAAAATTTCGGTGGGCTGCAGAGAAATCTCACTCCCAGAACACCCCCAAAGCAATTAATCCAGGCTGCGCAGAAACATAAGGCTGCGCTGTGCACAAGGCAATGGAAACCTTTCCCACTCACTCACTCCTTACCCGGCACACTTGCCTGCTAAATTGCTATTTTTCCTTTTTCCGACCATCAGCTGTTCTGCTGGGCTGGGAGATTTATCTAGGAAGCAGGAAATAATTGGATTTCTTGCTTTTTAGCTAATCTTTAAATCTTTGGCTCTACTTTTAAGCACAGCTGAACCTCTCTTAAGACTGAAGGTTCTATTATTCAGTGCAGACTCATGGCAAGCAAATTTTATGTGACAGACTCAGGTAGCTGATGGCAGATAGATAGTTCACTGAATGATTCTCTGAGCAACTCAATCTGCCTGCCTGCATTGCCTGATTTTGGGTAAAAGTTGCTCTTTTTTATTTAAAAAAAAAATCAATATTTACATACATGGTGTGTTGTGAGTTAATTTTGTGAGTTTGCTTGCTAGCAAATTTTATGAGTTTGCTTGCAAGCAAATTTTATGTGACAGACTGAGCTAGCCGATGGTAGATAGATAGATCACTGAATGATTCTGTGAGCAACTCAATCTGCTTGCCTGCTTTGCCTGATTTTGGGTAAAAGTTGCTCTTTTTTATAAAAAAAATCAATATTTATATAAATATTTATAATATTTACATACAAGCCATGCCCAGCCAGTCACATGACCACCAAGACACACCCACTAATTAGGCCACACCCACAGAACTGGTTAGTGGTCCCTGGAATTTAAAATTATTAGTTTGGTGGTCCCTGAGGTCCAAAAGGTTGGTGACCCCTGAACTAGTGGTTAATATTAGGAACAGACAGATTTGTGTCTGCCCTCAGCAATGCAAGTTCTGTGCATGACTTTGGGTCAGTCAAGCTGATTGGGCATCCTGACTGGGCAGCTGACTTTGCTAGATTATTATGGGGAAACTCTGAAGAAGAATGTGTATGTAGGCTGCCTTGAGTGCCAGGAGAATAGTTGGGGGAAGGAAGGAAGGAAGGAAGGAAGGAAGGAAGGAAGGAAGGAAGGAAGGAAGGAAGGAAGGAAGGAAGGAAGGAA